TTCAGTCACTTCCGACTCCGAAAATTAATAATTCAACTAAAATTACGTTTGAGTTGAACACTATTTTCTACCTAATCCAAATGAATTCGAAGCTCGTCCTCACCGCAATCGTCCTCCCAATCCTCGCCGTGGCGATCGCCGTCGCCACCACCAGCGTCTTCACCCCACCGCCACTCCCGGACTCGCATGCCGTCCTCTCCGGCGCCGACAGGATCCACCTCGCCGGCGCCGTCGGGCCGGAGAGCCTCGCCTTCGACCCAAGCGGCGGAGGGCCGTACACCGGCGTCGCCGACGGGCGCATTCTTAAGTGGGACGGCGGCGCTTGGGCGGAGTTTGCTTTCACCTCATCCCAACGGTTAGTCAAAAGTCGAAACCCCCTTTTACTCTGTATTAGCTATTCACCTCATAATTTGCAAAAGGAGGAAAAAAAGGTCAGCTGTATTTGTGAATTTTGGCACTTTTCTATTGAAATTCAACAGTAGGTTAGTAATTTCACAAAATTGTGGGGGCTAATTCGCACCAGAAACACAGATGAAGGGGTATTTTCTATAATTGAGCTAAACCTCATGGTTAGCTTGTGAATTTAACTTGATTTTCAGCGTCGTTAAACAAAATGATCCACTCGTGAGCTTGGTGATAAACGAGTCGAGCTCGTTGAAAGCTCCTTTAACTAGCGAGCCGAACTCTCGTTAAAACTTGAATATAAGAATTTTTATATAATTTTGTATAGTTTGACTCATTATGGCTCAAGCTAGACTCATTATTATTGAATGAGCTAAACTCGAGTTTGATTAAGGGTTCACTTTAGTTAACAATTGGCTTGTTAAAGGCTCGAGCTTGGCCATCTCGGCTCGTTCGGCCCAATTGACATTGCTTGTTGAGCATCTGCTTTTACAAGTTTGTATCGAATCTTCATTCGACAAAAGTAAAGATTTATGAAGCTTGTGCAAAAAGGGATTCGTGTACTCAACCGTTCAATCCATCAACGGAGCACGTATGCGGACGTCCGTTGGGCCTACGTTTCCATAACAAAACCGGGCAGCTTTACGTTGCCGATGCGTATTTGGGCCTACAAGTTGTTGGGTCCACGGGAGGAATGGCCTCGCCACTTGTAACCGAGGTCGACGGCCAGCGTTTGCGTTTCACGAACGATTTGGACATTGATGAACACGAAAATGCCGTTTACTTTACGGATACCAGCACGAAATTTTACAGAAGGTACAATTCTCAATTACATAGGGGGGTGATTGAATATTGATTTGATTTGGTTTTGATTGATTTTTTTGGTTAACAATAGGTAATTTTGAAAAAGTTGTTGGGTTAGGTTTGAGTGGAATTCCAGTTTGTATTAAAATAATATTTAAAATAAAATAATTAAAGTTGATTTGATGTAAAAGTAGGAGAAAAGTGATTGGAAGTGATAGATGTTTAAAATTATGTGAATGAATTAATCGTAAATTAAATAGTAAATTAAAGTTGTTATGATGTGTAAGGATTTTTTATTGATATTGTTTAAGTACAGTGATAACATTGAAAATAGTGAAGTGAGTTAAAAAATGTTGATTGAGTTAAAAAATGATTGGAAAAACCCAATCAAATCTATACTCAATATATAATTAAATAAAAATCGAGCAATGTCATTGACTCTCGACCCATTTATCCACACACAAGGGAATTCATGCCGTCGGTGCTAAGCATAGACAAGACGGGTAAGCTAATGAAGTACGACATATCAACCAAACGGGTCACGGTTTTGTTAAAAGGCATTGCTTTTGCAAATGGAGTTGCCCTAAGCAAAGACCGTTCATTTTTGCTAGTTGCTGAAACAACCACTCGTAAAATACTCAGATTTTGGCTCAAGGGCCCGAATGCAGGTAAACACGAAACCTTGGCCGTGCTCCCGGGCTTTCCAGACAACATAAGACGAAGCCCGGATGGTGACTTTTGGATTGCCCTGCACTCAAAGGTGGGACTTTTCTCGAAATGGGCCACTTCTTGGCCGTGGGCCGGGAAAGTGATTTTGGGGCTGCCTCTCGATTTTAAGCAGCTGCATTACTTGTTGGTGGGAGGGAAGCCTCACGCGACTGTGGTTAAGTTAAGCAGTGAAGGTGAAATTTTACGAGTTTTGGAGGATATTGACGGGAAGACTTTGAGGTTCGTTAGCGAGGTGGAGGAAAAAGATGGGAAGCTATGGATTGGTTCGGTATTGGTGCCTTACGTTGGAATCTACGCTTTGTGACTTAGGAG